TATATATATATATATATATATATATATATACACATACATATATATATTTAGTTGTAGTTGGACACAATATCTTTTATTTATTTTACTTTAATGTGGTGCTGAGGATCAAACCTAGTACCTCACACATGCTAGGTGAGTGTTCTACCACTGAGTCACAACCCCAGCCTTCTGATTCTTCTTAATCGAGGAAACTGATCTATTGATGAGGACTTGCATTTCTCCTACAGAGACCTTAATCAGGTCGTTCAAAAAGTAATATTAATTCCATTGATAGAAATTATTATTTTTCTTGCTATTACTAGTGAGAACTAATTACTAACACCTTTACTGAAATGTATATATACTTAGTTTGCAAAGATGATGAGCTTTAGAGTTAGCTAGATATACTTCTAAATTATGGCATAATATTTCTTAATCTGTTTCCAGATCTGAAATAATTTGGTATAGTGTGCATGAAGCACTTGGCATATAGTAGATAATGAAAGATAGCTATGCTTACTACTACTACTCCTAATTTTGTTTTACTACTACTGTCATTGCTGTTATTACTTGTAATAGTGTTTTTTAAAATCCAGACACTTATTGTAAGGATGTCAAAAAGGAAAAATTGCCACTAAGAAACTAAGTAAAGAAAGAGAACAGTGGGGACTATAGTAGACAAGTTTGAGCATATTTTTTCACCAGAGTGGATACAATTTACCACTATTCACTTGTCCCTCATTCATATGGAAAATTCTGAGAATGTGAACACAATTTATATTTTGGAGCAGGTGCAGAAGTCTACTTTAGACAGTGTGTGACCCAGATCAACCTGAGAAATGACAAGTGGGAAGTCTTCAGGGAAACAGGCTCCCCTGAGCAGTTTGATCTTGTTGTCCTCACCATGCCAGTTCCTCAGATTCTACAGCTTCAAGGTGACATTGTGAACTGTGAGTCTGCTTTGCTTTTTACCTACTCAGGGAGTAGGATTTCTTCAGTAGAGTGTGAATTTGCTCTAATTCTCTTAGTGAAGTATGCATTATAGATTCTATTGATTTCATGTCTTAAAAACTGCTTATGGCCTAGTTTGTGATATTAGGCCTGCCAAAGTGAAACCCATATAATTGTTTTTAAATTAGTTAAAAGTTGAGCTTTTTTCTTATTATCCTAGCCTTTAATAAGGCAGCATTGTTGATGGATGTGCAGTGCTGTTGCCTAAAAGAGTAATTTCTTTGTATGCATACTGGAGAAAAGGAGGGTTTTTTAATATATATCAGTTCTTACTTGAGTTGTCTCATTTCCTGTATTTTTGCTCTTTAGGTTGCCCTCTAAGTATTTACTCCTGTTTGAGCAAATAGCCTAGCTTCATTGTGAAAGAGGCACAGAGAAGGGATGGTTGGGAGGATGGGGGTGGGAAGTAAATTATGCCAAAGGAGCTAAAATTATGTTAAAAGAACCAAAATTATAATGAACTAAAATCCAAAAGAAATTTATCTGTCTGTATAAGGAAAGAAAAAAGTGTTCTCTTGCTAAAAATAACAAAGGTATATTTTAAGGAGGAATATGATGACTAGATGAGTAGAATGACTAGATGAGTAGAATATCATATCTTATTTATCAAGTCTGATGTCACTATTTTATAAAAATGAATCAGTTTTTATGTAGAGAGAAAGCATTAAACCATTGTAGATCATTTTTAATGAGTCCAATTTTTAAATTTATCAACCTGAGAAATGACAAGTGGGAAGTCTACAAAGAACGAGGCTCCTCTTGATTCTTGTCCTCATGATGCCAGTTCTTGATATCCGTAGGGGGCATTGATTTTTTAAGTTTCAAATTTCACTGGATTGGTACAGAGTAAGGGACTGTACAAAGTTGCTCTCTAAGAAAGCTGGAATGTGTGAAAAAATGGTAAGGAAACTAGTGTGGAATGACCTTATCACCACATTCTGTTTCTTTATGTCAGCTAAGTCTGATTTTACCATCTACCTCCTCAAAAGATCAACCTCAGTTTAATTCCAACACAGAAAGAACATGATGTGAGTCCTCCATTTTCAAATAAGGTTGTGTTCATGAATTAACCTTTTCAAGTTTCAGAATCTCTTCATTTGAACCTGGTAAAATTGTTACATATGGTGATAATAGTTAATGAGTTACCATTAAATTTGATTTCATATTCAAATTTTGTAGTGTCATCAGTAGGCTCTAATAATTCTTAGTATTTATTTCTAATCACCTACTGGGGAATATTATTGAGTACAGAGAATTATTACTCAGTAGATTTAATATACTGATTAGAATTTGCAAATGAAGGTAGGGTATTGCTAAAAGTCACTCTCCAATTATGTACTGTGTGTTTATAGGCTTTATATATTTTATATGTATATATGGTTTGTATGTTTCAGAAATATTGTGAAGTAAGATATTTTTATTTGACAATATTTTGCTTTGTTAATATTTATGTAATTAAAAACAGTGTTTAAATAGTGACAATTACTAGATTGATCTGTAAAAAAACATGATTTTATAGGTTGAAATGGTGATAAATCGACAATTGCAAGTGATCCAACCAAATATGCTATATATTGATAGAAAGGCTGAAGAAAAATAATGATTAATGCCAGTAATTAGTAACATAGACCTGAAGGCTTTTTACAATTATGAAGACTACTTTATGCACTTCTCTTTGGATATGTTATTTCTAATTACAGTGCTATTCAGATTTTTCATGAAGCATAACACTTTAATATCCCAATCTTTTGTCTTTATCTTTTAAATTTATGTTACTTTTATCGTTTATAAGTCTTTGAATGTTTCAATTGGCTTAGCAATATTCACTTTAGATATTAACCTTTGTTTAACTTTTTTTTTCAGTATAAAATGTGTGGTGGCAGGAGTGTGTGTTAGGTTTTATTGCTGGGTATGGTGGCCCATGCCTGTAATCCCAGTGATTCCAGAGGCTGAGGCAGGAAGATCACAAGTTTGAGGCCAGCCTTAGCAATTTAGCAAGGCCCTAAGCAACTTATCAAGACCCTATCTCAAAATAAAAAGTAAAAAGGGCTGGGATGTAGCTTAATGGTTAAGCACTCTTGGGTTCAATCCCCAGTACAAAAAAAAAGAAAAGAAAGAAAGAAAAAGAAAAACTGTGTTTTGAGGTCTGACTTCTTGTCCTTTCCCCAAATAGACTTTAGTCTACAAGTAGCAAATTGAGAAATGTCGTTTACATGCAAATGCCTTTCCTAGCTGTCAACTATTATCCATTTTCAAGGATGGGAGTGGGGAGTTGGATACCCAAGGTTTTCTACACTGTTCCTCAGAGTATCTAGTACATGTTGCCAGAAACTTCTAAATCCACAGACATCATTTTCCTACTAAGACTGGGTACTAATGAGATGGTGACAGCAGGAAACTTGCCAGCAACCAAAATAGAAATTATAATATACGTGTGAAATGTAGGATTCCTTGTATATATTGTAAGTCTAGAGGTAAAGAGGATAGTATCTGCAAAAGGTGTGTGTGTGTGTGTGTGTGTGTGTGTGTGTGTGTGTATGTGTTTATGTGTATGTATGTTAGGGGGCAGGGGTTCTTAAAACTGATGTTCCTGTGCTAAGTGCTGAGGGAGAGGATTCAGATATAGAAACTAAGGGAACAGAGGTATTAAGTAGGGTAGGGAGGATATATTTCTTCAAGTAGGAACACTTGCTCAGTTAACTCTTGTTTTATCAGGACAGTTTTTCTTACTGATACTGAAATTCTAGTTGATAATGTTCATTTTTAACATAGAATACTCAGGGTTAGAAGAGGCCTTAGAGAGCATCTAGTCTCATGTTTTAGCCCTTATATGAGTCCTTTTTAAAAAAATCACTATATTGAGACATGACTGACTTGTGAAAAGACGTACATATTTAATGGATGCAACTTGATAAGTTTGGAAATAAGTATCACTGAAGTCATCTCTACAATCTACATCATAACCATATCCGTCACCTCCAAAAGTTTGCTCCACCCTCTTTGTTTACTATTTTTAAATTTTGCAATAAGTTCTATTCTATTAGCAAAATTTTAAGTATACAATACAGTTTTATTAACTATGACCGCTATATTATACATATAATCTCTAAGATTTATTCCTCTTACATAACTAAATTTTGTGCATTTTAGCTAAAGCCCCCTGTTTTCCTATCCCCTAAGTCCCTATAATGAGCACTATAGAAAAAAGTCTGCTCTCTTTTAAATTCATACAACTTTTTCTTATAGCATTGGGATTGAACCCAGGGCCTTTGCACATGCTAGGTAAGCATACAGTTATGTCCCTAGATTCTCTCTTTAACTCATAAATCTCAATAATGACATCTGTGAGGAATTAATGTCTACCTTTCAGGTTTTTTTTTTCTTTTTGAGAAACTTAAATTTGTTCTTGTTTGATTATTAAGCAACATTTTAAGTGGCTTTTGAAAGATATTCACTTCCAAAGCCATATATTGCCATCTAGTGGGTCAATTATATATTACAATTCCCTCTAGAATCCTTAGACCAGAGAGGACTATGATTGGAACATAGGATAAAAAACACTGTGACTACCACAAAACCACATATCACTGGGAAAGAAATTTAGCCCCATGAGAACTAACTTGCCCAAATGGGCAAGATTGGTTAGTGACAGAAATAAAATGATATATGACACACTTTTTTGTACAGAGTCTTTGGTTTTTGTACAGAGTCTTCTGTTTTTCCTCGCATTCTCTTTCCAAATCATATGTACTCTTTAGAATAAAAAAAAAAACATGTCTTAGATGAAAGAATTTATTTTTGATACTAGTGTGGCTCGGATTTTTCTGTTATATCTTCCTCTATTTTGTTTTTAATGGAAGGAACAGAACAGTTTTATTTTTTTTTCTTTTGGCAATTTTTAACAATTATTTACACTTAAAGAATAGGAGAACTTCATGCACCATATAGTGAACCCCGATTTATATATAAATATATATATAATATATAATGGTTCTATAATTCTGCTACTCTCTCCATATTAATATTACAGAGATTATCTTTAGTTAATCCTCAAAGCCACACAGGCATCATCATCTCCTTTCTTGAAGTCACAATAGAAATGTGACCTCAGTAGTGGGGCTCTAGAGCCTGTAGTCCTAGCTGCTGCTGTTCATGGCTGTCCAGTACGTACTGTATATTAGACTCTCCTGTTACCGATTGCTCGCTTAGTGTCCTGCTTATTCTTGATGAAAGCAACAGCTAAAAATAAATAAAATAAAATAAAAATGTAAGGGCACTTTCATGAAGATTTTTACTCCTAAGATTTATATAGGGTTCAGGAATTTTTATCTTTGACAAGAACCCTACAGGATACCCCTACCCTAATCTACCCCCGACCCTTTGGCCTGTTTGGGATATTCTGTTTGTTCATATTATTCACCACATTTTACTGTAATTCTTATTTTTCAGTTAGTGTCTCCCAGTAAATCATAAAATCCATGAGGGAAAAGGTTCCATATAACTCTCTAGCCCCACCCAGCATCAAGCACCGTATCACACACAGACCCACAAACTACTAGTGGTTGTTCAATCCATTCCTGTAGGATGGCTGTCTTATTTCACAACTTCATGATAGGTTTCTAGGGTCAGAGAGTTTTAGAGTCTTTTGATCCCTGTTTGGTACCTTATTCATGGGCTAAAAGAGTGAACCCCGGATGGATCATAGAGTTTTAGAACTTGTAGGAAATTTGGGGCTTATAGCTTCCCATCCACTCTGATTTTGGAGATGTAAAGTGAAACTCTTTTTTCATATATCTATGGGTCATTTAGATTTCCTCTTGTGAATTCTCCAATTAGCTCCTATGCTTTATTTTCTAGTGGGATATTTGTTTTGAGAAGTATTTCACATATGATGTTACAGATATTCCCCAGACTATCATTTGTCTTTTTTTTTTTTTTT